GCGTGGACGGAAGGTGCCGAGCTGTGCACCCTCGACTGCTGACAGGAACGAGCGGTGGTTCCTGTCAATCCCACGGTTCAACAGCGCCGGTGTGTCGTACGCCATACCTGCATCAAATAGGTTGATCAGAAACATATAAATAATTAGTTCAACATAAGTAATAAATGTTCATAAGCGAATTACTAACACATATTAAACAAGAGTACAAACAAACAAAAGTGTTTAGTCCGAACACTCATCACGATAACATTATGATACAACACCGAATAGTTCGCAATACTACTAGTACAACAATAGTCGGAGGTACTCATTACAACAACATTGAATTGAAATTACACGATAGAAGTATTTAGTCCGAACACTCATTACATCACAACAGCATTTTATTTCCTAAATCGAAAGCATTGTTACACCATGGAATCGCCTGCTGCGCGACGACGCCTTGGCCTTGCGCGCCTGCTTGTTGTTCCTTCACCAGGTGGTCGCCTACCATCACTTGCCTGTCCAGATGGACTAGCATCTGCGCCGCTTGGAACTTATGCATTCTTCGGGCATTTCTTGTAAGTATGGCCGCGCAGATCACACTTGCTGCAGCGTAAAGTCCTCCCACCTGCTTCTGACTCATCCATATCATTTCTGATGCGTCTAGTTTGGCGTCGACCCTTTTTCACCCTTAACTTAGATGGATCTGGAATATAAAAAACTTGGGCACTCAGCGTTGTGTAAGATCCTGAGATCCCGAACCCATATATCTCCTCACTCCATGTATGAAAGATTGCTTCTTTCCTGAAATAATTTGAGACGTACACATTGGGAGATATGCCACAATCACCGGCAGCAGCAAGAACGTGTGAGCAAGGAAGGTGATGAAGCTTCGGCTTCATACAACTGCAGGTACATCCACCATCCGCCTTCAAGACACATTCCTGCACGGCTTGCTTGCGATAGATACCACGCCTGCTCCTATCAACACACATTATTTCATACCGATGCACTTGTGTGCCTTGAGCAACAACTCGATGTCTCCGTGCCTTTTTGATTTTATCTTCCATGTACTTTGTCACTACGTTGCCAAACACTATGTTGTTATCGGCCATGGACGGACTAATTTTCTTGTATCGATCCCTAAAGTACGCTTGCGTGCCGTGAAGGATGAATTCAACAATAGCAACCAATGGAAGTACCCGAACTCCTCGCATTACCCAGTTGTACACCTCTGCCAAATTGGTTGTCATTATGCCATACCGAGATCCATCGGTGTCGAACAATAGAGACCACTTCTCCTTAGGCTCATTCTCAATCCACTGAGTGAAATTTCTGATGGACGACCCTGACCTCCTTCTCATTGTTGGTGGGTCATCATGTAATGCACCAAGAGGTATGGGAGGATCGTCACCTTCAACTAGTGGTATGCGAGATTGCTCATCTGTTTGCTTCGTTGTCAACTCATCCAACTTGTCCCACAACTCATTAAATTTCTTCTCTTGGTTCTGTGCACAGAGCCTCTTAAAGAGCTCCATAAGATGCTTGTTCTTGAATTGCTTGTAGAAATTTGCACCCATGTGACGCATGCACCACCGACTCCGAACATCAGGCCACTTAGCTGGAAGTCCCTTCTCATCCCAACCGTTCTGCAAGTAGTCAATAGCCCGCAACATACCCGCATGACGATCATGTATAAGGCAAACGTTGGGCCTCATACGCACCACTGCAATGTGCACTCTCTCTAGGAACCAGTACCAGCTTTCAGTGTTCTCACTCTCTACAAATGCAAAAGCCATAGGTAGAACCTGGTTGTTCCCATCACACCCAATTGCTGTCAATATCTGACCTCGGTATTTACCTGTCATAAAAGTTCCATCTATGCATAGAACAGGTCGACAATGCACAAAAGCATTGATGCAAGCACCCAATGAGAAAAAGGCTCTTTGCAGCACACTCTTTGTTCGATCATCAACCGATGTAAATGTATGTAGGTCATAGTACGTATTATTATTCCTCTGGGCAATGGTGGCTAACAAACGAGGCAAATTATCATAAGAAGCTTCAAATGTGCCATACCTCATCTCAATGATCTTTTGTTTGGCTCTCCAGGCCTTTGCATAGCTTATGGTGTACTTGAATTTGTTCTCGATGTGCCTAATAATTGATTTTGGTTCAAAGCCAATGTTACCAACAACACTGCTGTACATCTCACTTACCACAAAAGCTGAAGTGATGTTTCGGTGATACTTCTCCACCCCTTGTAAGTAGCACTTGTGCTCGGTCACAATGCTAACTTTCCAATAATCATTCCATTTACCCTTATATGCATGGACACGCCACGGACAATCTTCCTTCATGCACCTCACTTCATACACATAATTTGTTGACTTGACCACCCTAAACTCTCTCTGCAAGGAAACTGCCCAATGCTTCACCGCCTCCTTCATCTCATCCTTATGAGCATACCTTGCACCCTCAATTACCTCGTTCTCCTTATACTCCCAGGGTACATGATCACCCTCTGATATAACAAGTCCAGAGAAGTCCTCATTTGCCCAATCAGTGGCCATTACATTACCTTCCTCATCGGATGATGCGTCGTCGTCCACTTCCTCATTATCCGAATCTTCCCTCTCCATTTCATCAACAATTATACCGACTCTCTCCCCCTCATCCGCCATGCCCATAGCCTGCTCCTCCCTTGGTTGATTTTCCTCATTTTGCATCGATGGTCCAACAACATCCCCTGCATTGATAGGACCCTCTACATATTCGGTTTGCATTGAAACATTTATATCTTTCTCTTGTACCGACACAAATATAACGAGGGGCCATGACCGTTCAAAAGCCATTTCCACATACCGTCTCCAAGCATCAGTGCTGTCCATCGGCATTAGTTCCCAAAAATAACCTTCTGTTGCACGACTCACTACAACTGACACTGACATTGTGTAGACTTCTTGGTCTATTCTAAATCCTCTCAACAACCAACTATAAATTGACTGAAATGTTCTCTCCGCAGGCCTATCGATGCCCTTAGATGTCATTACAAAATCTGACAGATCAACACCATCTGGACCAAATCTAATATTTCCTTCACCGTGAACTATCTGAAATGTGACCTTACTTGACATTGTGCCTGATGAAAACAATAACTGCGTTAACCTCGCATTTCTGTACTACGCCCTAAGTTACATTCTCTACAATATTGTTCTCTAAATTTCTAAAATTACGTTACATTCTCCAGATCAAACTAAACTACATCTTACAATTAACACTACTGTCTATGTCTCAATTCATACTATTATATTCTATGCTCTGGATCTACACATATGTGCTGTGTGCTACAGATGTGCTAAAATATATGGAACTAAAACTAAAACGCAACATATATACTCAAACATAACATATTAGTACAAATGCAAAAGATGTATGGGAGCATACCTGTGATGAATTGAGCGAACCAGCAGGGCTTCGCCGCTCCCCTTCTGCTGCCCTCCCCTCTCTCTCTTTCGTTTTTTTTGGATTTTTAGTGAATATAATGAAATTTCACGGAGGAGGGACTGGGCTTTATAGGGGGGAGGCAAAAATCGCCCTCCCCCAGGGCGGCAAGGGGGCCGCCTGCAAAATTCCATGCCCCCCCTCGCCGCCCATTTGCAGGCGGCCCCCCGCACAGTATAAAATCGCCCTAGCGGAGGGCGGCAAGGGGGCCGCCTGCAAATTTCGTTGACGGCCGTCGCCCGAGAGCGAACGGCCGTCTGCCACGTCATTTTCGCCGCCCTTTGAGAGGGCGATTTTCTCCCAGAGGGCGGTAGGCGACTACTTCCGTCAATTTTCAAAATGGAAAATTATTTTTGTAAAACTTTTAATAAAAAAAATTATAAATAAAAAAAATTCGAAAACCACCACAGGGGACAAAGATATGGCCCATTTTCCTGAACATGTTCATGCATCCTAGCTCATCTCTCTCACATCATGATAAATTCATGCCATTCGAATCAGAAACAACAAACCTTTCATACATCACATCTGTCGAGTAGGAAATGTCCATCTGATCTCCATGGCTCCAGGTGAAGAAACAGTAAGGGCAAGGTGAAGTCTGAAAGTTCAGAACAACATGGCCATTTCTTCGACAGGTGAGCAGTGAGCTAGGAACAGAAAGTGACCAAGATATTACAATATCTCAGAGCACGCAAGATGTGGTTATTAATAACCAGCTTAATTACCTTTGACACGTCGTTCTACAGCCCATGTTTATCTGCTAGAGATCACTGGTCTTAAGCTAGGTTTAATTATTCTTACCATATTTCTCTTCAAAGTGTAATATTCCAATGGAGCATGTAAAGCTAGCTGGGCTCTGACGTACATCTGTGTGTTGATTGTGTTGACTGGTTAATTAGCAGTTAATAAAGTAAAGAAAAAGAGCTAGTACTATTAGTGTGCAAGGAAAACGAACGATCGAGATGGCACTGATAGGATAGATAAGTACGCAGTGATTGAGAGGTTGGAGACTTCCTTAAGACAGGTTTAATTAAGGTGCATGTAAGGCCAGCAATTGGAGGCAGTGATCAACATCAATCGTGTCTCACGCGTTGCAGAGACCGATTAATTAAGTTGTTGTGCCGACCTAAAATCAGGTTCATGGCATGAGCTAGAAATGTACTAGTACTACACATGGTTAAATACCAGAGACATATGTGCATCTTTCTATTGGGATAATTAAGCTAAAAACGAAGTTTTCATTGGCCTGTGCTAGAGGTTTAGAAAACCATCTCAGAATGCAAATAAAAAGAAACTTGAATATTCATTTCGATTTACTCCCAGATGCTGCGGTAATCAAAATAGGATTTGTCTGTTGTCTCCAAGTTTACAGTGAGGTCAGAAGCGTATGGACAATACATAGTTAATAGTTTCAATTGAAATTGTCATCTATGCAAAAAAAACGAGGTTGGTGATCAACTTAGAATTCTTTGATAGGAACAGGAATAATGTGAACTAAAAATACAGACTAGTAATAATGCATAAAACATTAACCACGAATTGATTATGATTTATCATACACATTGCAGGGCAGAGAGAACTTCTATGATACAAAGAGATCAACTTATTTATGCACAGAAGCATTTCTCAAGGAAAAAAAATATATGCACAAACACAAATCACAAACCACAAACCACACAAGAGAAACAAATGGAATTACTTCCATTTTTCATGTAGTTCTTCGCTGATCTGTACACAATTTTATTATTGCTCTTATGTTCTCGCTAGCAAAATCAATGAAACCAAGACGAAAAAAAGGTAGAAAAATTATTTACATTACAAAAGATAACTAAAGCTGAGGCTAGAAAACTACCCTTTGGGGGGGTGGCGGGGGGGGGGGGGGGGGAGATTTTACTCGACGAGCGCCGCGAAGCAGCTCTCCGTCCGCGCGAGCGCGCCGCCTGCGCCGCCGCCGCCGCCGGTATCGACGGAGACGATGGCGGTGGCGGAGGTCGGCACATCGCGCCTCGGGCTGCTTGGCGTGGAGCGAACCTTCCTCGGCGGCGGCAGCGGCGGGGAGCCCAGCCTGCGGCGGAGGAGGTGGCGCAGCGCGGAGATGAGGTCGTCCGCGCTCTCGGCGGGCGACGGCGGCGCGGTGGAGCGGCGCCCGGCGCCGCAGACGAAGGCGTGGCGGTCGAGCGCCTCCGCCGGCGAGATCGGCGGCGAGGCCCGCCCCAGCTCCTCCCCGACGGCGTCCCCGCACAGCCCGCAGATCCAGCGGCCCTCGTACCGCGCCCGCACGCCGGCGATGTACGGCGCCGTGCACTCCTCCGTGAGCCCGCAGCACTCGCACGCCACCTCCACCCCCACCTCCTCCGTCTCCTCCCCAACCTCCAGCTCCATGGCTGGAACCTTCAGACTCCAAGCTACTAGTCTCCTCCTCCTCGCCGGCGTCTGCTGCTCCGGCGAGACGGCGTCGAACACCTTGTGGCCGTCGCGTCTTCTCTCTCTCGTCTCCTCTTCGTGCGCGCGTGATCGTTTTGGGCCTTGGGCTTTATAAACGGAAGGAGGAGGAGGGTGGGGCCCACGCGCGAGGGAATCATGGAGGTGTGGGGGCCCACAAGTAAGTGGGATGGGGACGCCACGTCGGACGGGTGGCAACGGGCGTTGCCAGCTGTCTCCAAGTGGGCGGCTGGCTTGCTTGCTGTTGCTAACTTGCTGCGGTTGTTTGGTCGGTAAAGTATTTTCGTTTGCTTGATTGAGAAAACCACGGTAATATATTTGTTTTTTTTATTGGGTTGATTAAGTGTGTATACTTTGTGCCTGTTCAGAGTACGGCACTGGTTGATATTATTTTAGGAGAACTAAGCAGAGTCCACTAAATAATGACAAATACAGGTATTATATACTATACATTATTACATGGTAGACGCATGGTGTTATGATTGCTTTGTTGTTTATGTATATATATGAGTGTATTCGAAATAATCAAATTGACTTTGAGGAAAGACTTCCATTACAGCTGTTGATAAAATTTAAGCACGCACCTGCACGGTTTCTCGTGGAGCAATGAAATGCATTTCTTGAAGTAAGAAACTTTGATGAAACGTACTAAAAGATTATAAAGAACAATCAGTACTAGAAGCAAAGGCAGCTAGTAGGTAGTAAGGAGATTTTGTTTATCCCTATTAATCTATCCACTACTATTACACTACAGATGAAGCGTTTACTTGCAAGGAAGGAGGAGCGCGAGGCGGCGTCGCGTTCGTTTCACACGCACGCTGACATGCGTCGCCATTGACTTTCGCCGCCGCCGCCGCGGTGGCGCGCGCGCGCACGCACGCTGGGCGACACGCCACGCCGCCGACGCGACGCGCGCCGTGCGCACGAGCAACACGTACGCAAGGGAGAAGGAGAGATCGCTATAGCTTCCACGCGCAAAGCGCAGGGCCACACGTGCGTGTTCGACGTAGACATGACACGGCGGACAGGCGAGGCGGCGCGGCGCGGCGCGGGCGGGGGCGACGGCGCCGACCAGCGGACGGCGTGGTGGGCGGTGGGCGCGTCGCGTCGCGTCGTGCGTGGGCGAAGTTGGTCGGCGTGGCAGCGCGCGACCGCGTCTCGGTCTCGGCCTCGTTGCTCACGGCATACGAAGCCTTGGGCTTTTACGCACGGGAGAAGCCCACATATACTGATTCTTTTGGGCCGTCAATCTGAGGCCCAATCAGGCTCGAACATGGCATATATGCTGCGTGGTTTTATATTAGTCCCACCTCGCGCCCTAGACCTGATTGGAAGAGGAGACATGGGTATATGAGATGACCCAGGGTTTGTAACCAAATCATACCTTTCTCGGCCTTTTGGCTAAGATCAAGTGTAGTATCTGTTCTTATCAGTTTAATATCTGATATGTGTACCATGTGTTCACTTTGATATTAAATTTATTTTAGCCAACCATGTCCTCGGCGCCTAGGGTTCCTAGGCGACTCAAGGTGGGTTCTGCGTGGGTAGGGTTTCAATCTTCTCTCAACCCCATCGGTCTCATGCCTGATCGGATCGATCTCTTCGGTCTAGATCCTGAGTCGGATCGATCTCTTCGGTCTAGATCCTGAGTCCACATCCCATCCTTCCTCTGTGTCCACGGTTAGATTCTCTGTTTTGGAGCCGAGCCAAACCTTGCTAGCCGGGGAGGGGTAGTTTTAGGGTTCGGAGGGCACCATGGAGGCGATGCAGGCACTGATGAAGCGCATGCAATTGTCGGAGGCAGAGAAGAAGGGGATCCGGATCTGCGAGGCGGAGTCTGGAAGTATGGGATCAGGGGATCCGAAGGCGATCGGGAAGGTCCTGGCGGAGAAAGTGGTGAACGCGGAGGGTTTGGCGCAAGCACTGGGGAAGATCTGGTGTCTGATTAGGGGAATAACGTGCAGAGATCTAGGCGAGAACCATTTCCTGTTTACCTTTCATCAGCATCCGGGAAGCGGCATGCTCTGGAGGATGGACCCTGGATGTTTGGTAAAGATCTGGTGATCGTCGTGGATTATGATGAATCAAAGGTTTTGGAGGAGATGGTGTTTGCCTTTGTTCCTATTTGGATCAGGGCTTCAAAGATGCCTTTATGCATGATGAACAAGGCCATAGGGAGAGCGATCGGGGGAGAGGTGGGTGAATTCATGCGAATGGAGTCGGAAAAGGATGGCACTGCTGTGGGGCAGTTCCTTCGTATAAAGGTTCGTCTGGATATTCGTAAACCCCTGATGCGTGGTGTAACTCTGAGTTTGGCGAAGGGGAAGAAGGAGATATGGTGTCCCCTGGTGTATGAGTTCCTACCGTACTTCTGCTATACATGTGGGATCATATAGCATACTGATAAAGTGTGTAGTGTGCAGCTAAAGGAGGGAGAAGAGCAACGTTATAGCAAAAAACTGCGGTTCATCCCAGAAAAGAGGAGGTGGGAGGAGGGAAGTAACATGAGACAATTGGGTGGAAGGGGGGGGAGCGCAGAGAAGATCTGGGGATAGCAGTAGTAGGGGGAGTGATGCACCATCTTGGAGGAGGAAGGATTCTGGGGCAGTAGTTACTGGAAGAGAGGCCAGAAATGGGGAGGAGGAGGAAGTGACGAGTCCTGTAAAGAAATCGGTTCAGATGCACAAACCTGAACAGGCTAAGAAAGCATTGTTTTCCATTGAGAAGGAGATGGTTAGTGCGGGAAAGAATCAGCCCCAAGGGGGCGAAATAGGAGGGGAGATGCTGAAACCAGCTCAACATGACAGAGTGCAGGAAAAAGCGGACGCCCAGGGGAAATACATGGAAAACAACGCCATGCAGCCCATGCACGTCGACGGAGGGGCTGCTCAGGGAGAGGTGCCATCGGGAGTAAAAGGGCCAGGAGGTAGCAAACAGAAAACTTTCAAAAGAATGACAAGGGAGACTAGAGGTAAGATTTTGCCAGCAGGCTCGGGGACGGTGATCCCGGGAAAGAGAAGATAGATGGAGGGAGGGGAGGAAGTTTCGGGAAAGCGAAGGAAGGAGGGAGAGCTAAAGAATAGTGAGGAACAAAACCCAATGGAAGCGGGACTTGCGATCCAGTCCTGCGGGAAGAAATGAAGCTAGTGGCTTGGAACTGTCGGGGGTTGGGAAACCGCCCGGCAGTTCGGGGACTTCTGGATCTTCAGAAGTCGGAAAAGATCGATATTCTTTTCTTGTCAGAAAAAAAATTAGACAAGAGAAGAATGCAGTGTCTGAGGTGGATGTTGGGTTTGGTTAATATGGTGGTGAAAGATTGTGAAGGACAAGGAAGGGGGGGAATTGCAGTGTTATGGAGGAGGAGGATTGATGTGTCTCTTAGAAGCATGTCAAAGTACCACATTGATGTGGATATTGAAGAGGGGGGTGGTGGAAGTTGGAGATTTATAGGGGTGTATGGAGAGGCACAAAGTGATCTTAGATTCAAGACATGGGACACTTTGCGAAGCTTGGCGATGAATCCAGCTCAGCCATGGCTGATGGCGGGAGATTTTAATGAGATACTCGTAGCTGCAGAAAAACAGGGAGGTAGGCCGAAGTGCCAAGCTCAGATGGACAAGTTCCGGGACACTTTAGCTGATTGTGGCCTCATTGACATCGGTTTTGAGGGAGACATGTTTACCTGGCGGAATAATAGCCACACAGAAGAGGGCTATATTAGGGAGCATCTGGACCGGGCGGTGGCAAATCAGGAATGGAGGGTGAAGTTTCCGAGCTTTCGGGTTGTCAATGGGGATCCGAGGCACTCTGACCATCGGCCAGTGATCATTACTACATGTGGGGGAAGGAAGGGGGTAATGCAGAGGGGATCATCAAGCTTCAGGTTTGAAGCTGCGTGGCTGGCTGAAGAGAAGTGCAGGGAAGTGGTGAGCGAGAATTGGGAGATGGCCTCAACTTTGGCAGAAGGATGTGATGAATGCGGTGAAGGTGGTAGCTTCAGGTTTGTCAAACTAGAGTACAAACGTCCTGGGTGATCTGGAAAAGAGAATAAAGAAGCTGAAAAAGGAACTGGAAGCGTGCCGCAGGGGAAATATCTGCAAGGAGAAGGTGGTGAAAGAAGGGGTGCTGAAATACAAACTGGAGAAACTGGAGGAGCAGGTTGATACCTACTGGAGGCAACGGGCGCATGTGGCATGGTTGCAAAAAGGAGACCGCAATACATCCTTTTTCCATGCAACGTGTTCAGAGAGAAAACGAAGCAATAGGATCGGCCGACTGAAAAAGGAAGATGGAAGCTGGGTGGAGAGTGAAGAGGAGAAGAAAAGTTTCATCATGCAGTATTTCAAAAATATGTTCCAGTCCAATGGATGTCAGCACCCGGAGCGCCTCTTAAGCAAAGTGAAGAAGAAAGTAACAGAAGAGATGAATGAATGCTTAATGGCTGAGTTTATTGTCGAAGAAATAAAGACATCAATAGATTCAATTGGAGACCTGAAGGCGCCAGGACCAGATGGAATGCCGGCTGTATTTTACAAGAATTTCTGGGATGTGGTTGGAGGAAAGGTGACCTCAGAAGTTCTTGATATTTTGAATGGAGGTCAGATGCCATTAGGTTGGAACGAGACGACAATAGTTTTAATACCAAAGGTGAAGCAGCCGGAGCAAATCAAGGATCTCCGCCCAATAAGCCTCCGTAATGTCTTGTACAAAATTGTTTCAAAAGTGCTCGCAAATAGAGTTAAAAAAGTTTTGCCTGATGTAATCTCTCAATCACAGAGTGCTTTTGTTCCGGGGCACCTAATCTCGGATAATATTTTGATTGCTTATGAGCAGACTCATTGTTTACGGCACAAAAGAACTGGTAATGTTGGTTTTGCTGCTTTGAAACTAGATATGAGTAAGGCCTATGACAGAGTGGAGTGGGAGTTCCTGTCAGAAATGATGATTAAACTTGGTTTTAACCAGGTTTGGACGCAGTTAATCATGAAGTGCATTACGTCAGTATCTTATAAAATCCGAGTGAATGGAGAGTTGACAGAGGAGTTCCTGCCTGGGAGGGGTCTGCACCAAGGAGACCCCCTCTCGCCGTATCTATTTCTGCTTTGCGCTGAGGGTTTTTCAGCTCTGTTGAGTCAGGCGGAAGAAGAAGGATTAATTCAAGGGGTGCGAAAATGCCAGGGTGCACCAAGTGTATCACACTTGCTATTTGCCAACGACTCTCTTATTTTATGTCGTGCAGATAGAGGTGATGCACAGCAGTTACAAAGTATTTTATAGGTGTACAAGGAGTGCTCTGGCCAGATGATTAATAAAGA